AGATCTGATGATAAAAAATTTAGGGAAAATAAATAAGTGTAAAGAACAACAACTAATAGTTTAAAATATCGATATCTTTATTTAATAATTTCATTGATAGGTATAAAGATTCAACGTGAAGTTATAATGTTTTGATAGAATAGTTGCTAAGTAACCAAATCTCAAGTTACAGTATCAGGGAAACATATAAAACACGCAGTACAGTACATGATAATAAAAAGGAAAATATTATTTTATTCCAGAGTAACAATATTATTTTATTACGCACTGTAAAATGCAATAAAAATGCATTAAATGCATGCAAATCTAACATAGTCGAATCATTATCGACGTTGCAATAACAGTTTAAAATTTCTAATATTTCGTGAGAAGTATGGAATTATTTATTAATATAAGAAAGTTACATTTGTTCCTATTCCATAAAAATAAATATATAAACAAATTTCCTTTTTTTATTTTTATAAATTCATACAAATGTTAGCCATAACGTCAAACATGTGATAAAATACGTTTAGAAAAAACATTTTTTTATAGTGCTATGATACAAATATCGCCTTGATATATTTCGTTCTATTTTCGCTAAGTTACAAATCATTTTATAGAAAAATCTCTAACAATATGTTACGTGTCTACATTTTGAAGCACCTTATGTATAACACGATAAAATTCAATAGTGATACATATCTAATACATTACCGCCCATATTTTTCTCGAATAACTAAAAAATGCATGTGAATAACCTATAAATGTGACCACTAACCAATATATTTTTACATCGATTTTTAACCATTATTACAACATACCACTAATTAATTATTATATTTCATGCCTTTTAATAGTCAAAGTAAAAAAGAGTTAATGAAATCAATAATAGTAATAGGTATTAAGTACTTGTAAAAACAATTACTCCTTTGCCTGTTTTTTTAATAATTATGAATGATCATAAAATTATACATATAATGAATATCGTGCTTTGTGTGTAGAATTCTAAACATATAAGTATTTATACAAATATTTAAAAAATAAAATATGAGGTAGACTCATTTTACTCATATAAAGAATATTTGAATGAATTGTATGCGTTTGAGTTTTTGGTCCATTGTAATTTCTTGTACAAACTCGTGCAAGGTTTGTGCCCACATTCGGTCTTTATGCAATAATCACGTAACACATTTTAAAGTAATAACCTATTATACTGTGCTCATTTGTTCAAACTATAATAAATATGGTCACATTTGAAGGTAATACAATTCCGACCTTAGGTTTTTTTCATTATTAAAATTTGATGTAACGTTGTAACTGCATATACAACATGTACAATACTTCCTGAGAAATTAAATATTATATAACAAAAATAAATTACGTTAAATAATTACATAACCATCCT